TTGGAAGACAAATTGACAATTCGGCCCAATATTTTGTTTAATTTAATTTGAGCAAATTCAGATTGAAAATATTAACTTGCTGAAAAATTTTGAAACAAATTTCTGCATGATCTTACTATTTACATTTTCTAATAATATTATACATTTTTAAATATCTAAATAGTATATATATATTTTATGAACCCTATACAAGTATATATGTATACACAAATATATATATATATATATATATCCATGCATAAAAAAATATAAGGTTTCTACAAAAAAAAAAAAAAAAGTACTGAAAATATATTTTTTCCACTTTCTTTACCTTGATTTTCAAATATTATTTATAGTTTTAATTATCGCATATACCAACATATATATAATTCTAAAAGTACATAATGGAACTGAAAAATTTACCTACCAAATGCAATCTAACATTAAAATCAAACCAAATCCGAGCTGCAAGTCAGTGGAATTAGAGAAACCATTTGTAGCATTTTGACCTTATTTGTCTGTTTCCTATGAACATATGCATTAACTAACTGCGTTACAAATTTACAGACTGATACATCACCAATATATCAAAAGGAAAAGAGAATGATAAATTCACAATTCAACCAAATTAGCAATCTAAAACACAGCAATATGTTACATCTCTCCATCTTCTGCGAACAAAATTGCCATAGATTATGTTGTTAGGGTATCCGGAAGTCCTATAGAATGAGATCCAATGATCTTACCACCAACGTCCGGGAAAGTCTCGTATCCAGGCAGAGAGCTTACCTTCCCATCCTTCTCAATGAGCAGAGGATAGTTGAGAAGGTGACCCCGCAATTCTGTAAATTCTGCATCTGTAAACTTATTCCAATTATCTTCACCAATCTTGTTAACTGCCTTTACGCATTTCAAACTCTCTGGCTCCATAAAATGTTCATCGAGCTTACCCAAGTGCTCTGCCCACAATGACATTCTGTATCCGAAAATCTGCAAAAATATGCATATTGATCATTTCAATACAATAGTTAAGCGGATCCCATATATCAATAGAAGTTCATTTAAATAAAGGGTGAACTTTTCTTAGTTCAATATTTGCCTGACAAGGACGTCTCGACTAACATAAATTTCATATTTGGATAGGGGCTGGCTTAAATTTATAGACAGCAATGTATGGAGAAAAAGCCCGACAGCATCATATTCTCTTGAATATGTTTTCTTTTTCCACGACAATGAAATATATTCAGAGGGCAAAGGGGTGCAAGCAAGATGTCAGCTAGAGTAACCCAAGCAAACCCTTAAAAGTATACTTCAGGCGTGGAACTAAATTGTAAACCGATTGAGGAATTTGGTTTTTGGTGGGCCTGAGATAGTTGGAAATTATTTTCATTTCATAAGCATTCATGCTCCTCTGAGTGGGTATAAATAGGAATTATAACAACCAAAGGGTTCATACCAGAATTTTAAATATCAATTCAAATTTCCCTCTCTTCTCTCGGTTCTCTCTCACCTTTCTCTCTTACTTTCTTCTCCTCTATCCCTGAATCGAACATAATTCACTGCTGTGAACCTCATCAAGGCTCTTGACACAAGATCTAGAGAATAGGAATCAAAAGATTAACAAAGGTTCCAAGATCCTCTTCCAGAAAAGTAGGATGACCTTTAAATGAAAAGTTTAATATCTATGTAACAAAAAACTTAAAATCTATATAACCATCGTTCTAATCTTAACAGAAGAAGAGATCTTGACCAATAAATTCTATTTTTGAGCATCTCACCATCCCCCTTGCTTTGACAACTGGCACTAAATTGCTAGCCTTCTAGCCACCATAGGAGAGATTGGAGAAAGGGATAGCATAAATGGCAACTTTAACCAAGTGATTTTAAACAAGGTGAGTCTCTTGTCCTTAGACAAGTGTTCTTCCAAGCAAAAAGCCTTTTGTCCATCTTGGTTAACATAGGGTCCCAATTTCTACCCAAAAAAATAGGGCCAAACACTAAGGTGCTTGTGGTTGGCTCCAAGGGATAGCCCAAGGTATTTGATGGGAAGGGAAATCACTTAACACCTTAAAAGGCCGGTCAAATCATGAAGAGGACAATCTTACTCGAACAAGACCATTTTAGACTTGCCAAATTAACCCTAAGACAGGATAAACGAGATAAGAATACATCCAATATTTACCATGCACTCTCTCTCATCTTTGCCAAAAAGGAGAGTGTTATCCACAAAAAGAGGAAAGTTATCTCCTTTCTCGATTCATTGTTGTCCACCTCCAAACCTGGGAGTAGATTACCAGTTCTAGCCATT